GTTGTCAAATAGTGGTAACAAAAAGCTTGTATTCAATATGAACATAAAATATTATCTTATTTTCTTTATGTCATCAAATGTGATATGGTAACCATGATGTGAGTGATGTACCGTATACAGTAATTTCGTACTATCTTGTCAGCATTTTTGTTTCTTGGTATGACCCACATTTCACATTAAGCGTTCTTTCTGGATTTACATTGGAAAGGGAAGAGCACATACACTAAACGATTTGTTAAAACAAAACAATTAATTGTTAAGCCCGTACCACGAAAACCAATACGCAATATATTCATGACATACCGACAAACATAAAAAGTGCGGATTCATATATAGGAAAATGTATAACGCTAGTTGCCTTGCGTGTGACATTATCAAATAGTAGTACGTCACATAAACACATCCAACGACAGCACACGACGTGACGTCATCCAACGCAAGCACACGACATGACGTCATATGATGCCTGTACACGACATGACGTCATCCAATGCTTGTACTCGACATGGCCGCATATAATGTGTATATAACATAACTGTATACAATACTAGTACACCACAAGTCGATATCCAAGTAGATGAGATGACAACACCAAACGTATGCACACCACACGGTGTTACTAATGGCTAGCACACGACATGACGTCATCTAATACTAGCAATATTAATAATACATGTGTGTGAAAATGTTATTTTCATCCACTTATGGGTTTCTTTCATAAAACATGGCTGTGTAATTATATGGCCTAATTAACAACACTTTCATTACAGATATCGGCCTATTGTACATAAACACACATATGGCGAGATAAGATGATGGACAAAAGATGTAGACAATTCTCGGAGAAATAAAAATATTAGCCAGGCGCGTAATATGACAGAACTCCACACTCTTCCCGTGACTTTCGTTGCGTATGGAAGTTATTTTCACGAGTGAAGGGGTGCATCCTGCGGCCATACTTTCACGAGCGAAGCGAGTGAAAGTACAGCAGAATACACCGCATCTCGAGTGTAAACGGTGTTTACAAAATAAAAATAGTTCGGTAGCCAATGGAAATACCATGTTCATTGGCATATCGACCGTGAAAATACCAAAAACGTTATTGCATGGGTGATATGCAAATTAGTTTGGGCCAAAATAAGTGACTGCCTAAAAGTACCATTACTGTTGTTCAAATATCATTTCACTCGACAAGTATATTCATGTACCCCAAGGGAAAAATATCGTACTTCTAAATATTGTTTATTTCTGCTATGTTTAGAAAAACGGTACTCCTGATGGGACTACATTGTTTGCTCTCAGACCTCATTTGCATATGGGGTGTGGAAATACCGATTTTGATTTCAGGGACGAATCAAAATAAACTGCAGTACAAATGTAATAAATAACGATATTTATCTTAGATTTACGAATATTAATAGTAGTAGAGACAGTAGTAACAACTGTACAATTCCTAATAGAATTCATAATCCTGATAACAAATCATTATTGGCGACATCTACCAATAATATTAAATAATACGAAAAAAAAACGTTAAACACGATGTGTACACTAACTAATGACCATCAAGCCCATAAACATTCAATACGGGTCATAGACTACGCGTGAGGATACAAAATCTCGCGGGACTGTTTTTTGTATTCAAATGATGTTACAAAAGTACAAAGAGCACATAGCCTGCTCACCTTCTGATGTATAGTTGTATAACATGTATAACCAAAACTGTAAAATACCATTTTATTTAGAAACACATGCATAGATTTTTTCGTTTCAGAAATTATATGTTTAATCGTTCCCCGGCTTTAAAAACAATACAAAATGGCTGTTATGTTTTAAATTTACAGGGTAAATGTACTTGTTACAATCAAAGTATAGCACACGTTAAAACTTTTCATTTTTCCATCACTGGTTTTAGTATATTCACTTAGCCCGAGTTAGTGTATGCAACGTTCCTGGTGAAAGATTATCATTGTGGTTGGAAATATAACATGACAAGTGAATTCACATTTCTCTTGTCTCTTACACATGTATTACAATTTTCACACAATACATATTGATTTGTATCCCATATAATACACTGTTTTGGTTACACATACCTTTCAACTGTTCTTCGGACACCTCTTCGGCCTACGAACAAATATAATATTTAGTTAAAGGAGAGCGGATGTGATGTACTGTTACGTAACGAATTTCGCGTCATGTAGCGTCATCTATTATGAATAACATATTATGGTGTCAACGTGACATGTACCGATATTACGGCGAATTTATAACATATTATGGTGTCAACGTGACATGTACCGATATTACGACGAATTTATAACATATTATGGTGTCAACGTGACATGTACCGATATTACGACGAATTTATAACATATTATGGTGTCAACGTGACATGTACCGATATTACGACGAATTTATAACATATTATGGTGTCAACGTGACATGTACCGATATTACGACGAATGTATAACATATTATGGTGTCAACGTGACATGTACCGATATTACGACGAATTTATAACATATTATGGTGTCAACGTGACATGTACCGATATTACGACGAATTTATAACATATTATGGTGTCAACGTTACATGTACCGATATTACGACGAATTTATAACATATTATGGTGTCAACGTGACATGTACCGATATTACGACGAATTTATAACATATTATGGTGTCAACGTGACATGTACCGATATTACGACGAATTTATAACATATTATGGTGTCAACGTGACATGTACCGATATTACGACGAATTTATAACATATTATGGTGTCAACGTGACATGTACCGATATTACGACGAATTTATAAACATATTATGGTGTCAACGTGACATGTACCGATATTACGACGAATTTATAACATGCTAGTACTGTCGCAAAAGCAGACACTCGTACTACGATTTTAAAATCAACTCCGAATGAATAACATCTTACTGTGCCAATAACAAATAAATATTATAAGTCACAGAGAGACTCGTCATTGTAATGTCTGCTAAGCACTCATGATTTAATGTGAACGGTGTTTATTGATTGTTGCGATCAATGGCCCCGGCCCGACATATCACCTGCCCCGTTTCCCTCGTCAAGTAACTCCTTGTTTGTTGAGTGTTTTAAAAACAACCTTATAACTTTATGGAATATTGATCTGCCGTAGACACGACGCATTGACCTATGTCAAGCGCGTATGCATAAAGTGTCACGCTCGATTGCCTTTAATTGTTTTAGTATTCGACAATATTCCCTCCCCTTGAGAGTATATGACTTGACACCGCGAATTGTTTTTACGATTCCTTGCAAAATTGTCCAACTATTTTGCATTCAGGTGTAAAACGCGACGTCACGTGAGACGCCTGGTCTCGAAGGGACTCATAGGTCATGTCACAATAACGACACCGTGGATGATAGTGAAACACATATACATAAAAGTTATGGCGTTGATGATAATACGACTACATGCCATGGGCCCTAATTTAAATAATATTCGTTGGCGTATAAAATGAATGAATTGCTCAACTGAAATACAGTATAATGTACGACGTAAACATTTCATAAAAGAAGGGGAATTAATCCCTATCGAGAATTGTGACATTTTACGAGCTTCTTTTCAAGAGGTCGATAACGGTACGTCATTGTGACCAATAGCCTTTGTCAAAACACAACGCTTTATCAAGACGTTTTACTAAAAAATTACTACATTCCTGTCAGAGATTCGGGGTTACTTCATTGTCATACAAACAATGTTGCTACTTTAATCCGTGGTCATCGGGTGCTTCAAGGTGAAATACCTGTTTATGATTTTTGTAGTAAAACGCTAACAAAATTACTTGTTAGAACCTGTAGGTTGTAAATAGATTAGCGACCTTTAACAGTGCGATCAGTGCGATGGTTATCAAAGGACATTATATACTGGTGTACATAACCCTGTCAAATGGAGTATGATATACAGACACATTCCAATAACATGTATCGGCATCCAAAATAGACAGAAAGAGTCTGATACTTGCCTTGCATGCTAGAGTAAAGTCCACTGTAAGAGAATATGCTACATGCATATGAGGATACCTGCCCACATTATTGGTTGTATTCATTAGCTTAACATGCCCCTGGCGCGAATGACAAGAAACCACTCACCATTGTATGAGAATATTCACTCCTTGTAACTGTGTAAATCTATAATCCCCGAATTATAATGAATGGAGCCTCGCCTCAAAACGATCTCTCTATCCTCGCACACACTCCGTATATGACTTCCCGTGATTCAAGCGTGTCGTCTTCGCACCTAACTCATTTACATATAACAGTTTAACACGTCGGGGTAGGTCTTTCATATGCCATGAACTTCATTTGTCCATAGCTATACAATGTGGTGCTTTCTCACCCTAGGGAGTCGTAAAACGCGTCACATGAATGACACCCTTGATGATGCAGTAAAAGTGAAGAACTACGACGCGTATGGAGATTTAAATTAAACCTTATTCCGGTGAAAACCACACAGTAAAACATACAATGATTTGTAATTTAGTTAAACTAATAAGTGTAACAAAGACCGTGATATTAAGGAATAACATTTCACAAAACAATCCTGGGTCATGTTAATTGGAGTTAATACGTTAAGTACAAAATGCAACAAAACTATTCACTTTAAATATCCAAGTCGATTGACATCAATCTTTAATCCTATATATTAGTTAATTCGTTTAAATGTGGAACCAATTTCAATAACGCTTCAGTATAACACATTGGTCATGTTACCATGACTACAACAATATATTGATCTAGATGTAGATTAGAATACTACCTAAATGAGCATGTTCACCACTTTCCTGTGTGTGATATGTTATTTCGTAAAACTATTATTACACATAATGACCCAAAAGTAAATAATTAAACCTGCACTGTTTGGTTGCCACGGCCACGGCCCCTCTTGAGAGGGACTGTGGCTGTATCATTGACTTACAAGCGTAATAGCTGAATGAAATGTAACTATTTTATTCTTCATAGGCCTAACCAATCACGAATTTATAAATATACATTATAACACAGCTATCATTGTGGCTGTAGATGTGTGGCTGTGGTCGGTAACTGCTGAATTGCACCGTAGCTGAGCACTGGAAGATGATTCACCCACACCTCGGATAAGTGCCTTGGAACTACTAAGGGGATAACATTTTCTACATGTGTTTGTGTTGCAGTATTGTCGCGATAATAGCGCAGTATCGAGTAACACATTTCCTGTACATTTACAGTTCTAATTCGATTCAAGTATCGTGTGAGCTACATCCCAGGACACCCAGCTACGACTCCTCAATGCTCCTAATGTCCTGACATGTCATGACCTGACAAGCCTAGAACTGTTTATATAGCAGATGAATCTACATGAAATTTCAATTTAGCTATCACACTACAACCTGTATCACCCCGCACTTCAAGTCACGGTGCAGCCATTTACACACCTAAATAAACACCACGTTTTAGTGTCATTATACACATATACACACCATCGCGCAATAATTTTCGAAGAAGTATATTTTAATTTTAATATAAACAATATTTATGGATAAACATTTAAGTATTCTCTGGTTCAGTGTTTCATGCGCAACTACAACTACAACTACAACTGCGCATCATTCAGTTTAAGAATGTGTTTTTTCATCAATATTGTAATATGGTTATTAACATGTAAATGTGACAGTAATTATTTTGACTGACGCCATTTGATGTGCGCATTCCTAATGCAATAGCAACTCATTAATATTGTTATGCATTACTAGTCCGCTATTAATAAGAAGGGTGCAAATAATTTAGTGATACGTTGAGCACGATGATTGCTCATATCCCACTGACCCATACTGTTTGTTAACTAACGTTACTCTATGTCATGTGATAACAGGTGCCATATTCCATCCCTACACATTGATAAGTAATTGACAGCGCAATTAATTGCATGCGGACAATAAGATAATCAATATTCCAGGGTTTATATATTTAGCAACATTAATTCATTATTAGGTGAAGACCTTCAAGTAGACAACTCTCCATTGGGACCTTTATTTGCCAATATTCCATTTTTAAATTATGTGAAAAGATTAACCGGATGTCTCAATTGCTTTTGGCAAATGATTTAATTCCAACACCGTTGCTATCAAGGCACCCCAATGACCATTCATGGTATATAGGGGTGTGAGTGTTATAATCTGACAATGCACCACGTAGAGAGGCCCCTTGTATAAATACTTAATAATTGCTTCCTTTAGAGCATGAATATATTATAATACTGTTTTTGCTACGGGAAATTGCTTTATCTTACAATTCGAATTGCAAGCCGTCCATGTAACTCAACACACCGTGAACATAAATATATTTGTGTATCAAATGTACAACATGATGAAGCCAACATTGTTTTCTCTTTAAAATATATAGGTACATTTTTATATAGATAACTGACTGTTAGTTATGGAACTTCAGCATTTTTTTGGTATATTCAATACTCGCAAGTAATTTTAGGGTAGGCATTTGACAACACCGTCTATTAAAGACTCCATTTAGAGAGATTCTTATATAATTAGTACGTGATCTAAGAGATACTTCAATGTTGTGTTGTAAACACGGGTAATCATATACCGATACACACATTTGCAAATAAACTAATACGCTTTTCAGAACATGGATAATTTCACATATATGAACTAGATTAGATTATTCTCAAACACACACACTCCCCAGAGAAATACGCGATATAATACTGTGTAGTTTATCTTTTACGCAAACATCACTGACATTTTATAATTAAAATAATTGCTTATAAGACATTTAGTAATTCAAATATACATAGATAGCAAAATCACCAATAATTGATATAACCAACTACAATGAACTGATGAATACCATCAATAAATAACAATAATATCATCAGTTCTCTATTCGATTATTTTTGGAAATAAACTGTGTTAATACATTTATGTAACGACTAACAAACATGTGTCTTTTAAATTCTAAAATAACTCATAATATGCAAATCGAGAAACTTGGACCTTAATTATGATAATCAACCTTTGCTCGATCGATTAATTAAATATGTTATTTGATTTTCTAAAAATGTGTGAAATGTACGAATTATAATAGTACTATATTATAGCAGGTTTTCATCATAAGGTCGGGTGTTTCAAGCGTAACTAAACTACGTTACACGCGGAATCTTCTTATCACATACACTAGATATATTCCATGTGAGTATTTGGGTCAAGGGCACATATTAACTGCGTTATAAATCATATAATACCTTGTCAAATATTCCATCAAAGATAAAAGTGCTGTTTAGGCATGATTTGCGGTGTGTACTTTGTATTCCACCGTTCTGGCAAATAAAGAGGCCCTTTCTGGGGACTGGCGACAATAAAACACACACAAGGGTCGCTAGGGAGAAGAAATCACATGTGATCAATTCAACGACGGTAACGCTCTATCACAATATAACTTGACATGGAAATATACATCAATAAGGATATAAATCACAAATGATATTGAAATGATGAAACGCCCTGGCGCAGTTAGTTGTATCATTCTCAGCTAAAACAAAGTTTGATGTATGCTCACATAAAACTGGCGTGTTCTATATTTAAATTAGGGTGGACAGTGCATGTTTGAAAACGGGTACATTGGGTTCGTCATATTGTACGTAGGAATTAAGGTGGACAGGGTATGTTTGATAACGGGTACATCAGCTTTGTCGTACTGGACGTAGGCTAATAATGTACAACTGTCCTCCGTCCACGTGGGCGGTCTTTCTCGTACCAGCCACCGGGTATTCCAGTCCTGTAATTTAGTTCATAATCCGTTGGGCTGAGTAACAGATAAATAAGACATACCAAGAAGAAAATATAATCAATATAAACCATCCCTTATTATTTAAAAATAGATATCTTTGTTATAAATTTGTAATAAACATTCTACAAACGTTTAGCAAGATGGTGACCATACACCCCCCAACACACATATGAATAAGACCGTGATTTCACAGACAGGTGCACTTACAAACACGGAGGCAAATTCTACCTCCATGGCTTGACTATAAACAAACGAAAACGGAAACAATGTATGAAAGCACTCATATGTCGTGCAATCTGTTACTGTCTGTTACTTTTTATAATGGCTTTTATTGTATGCATTGAATTTTAGACTTGGATGTCAATATGTATAGTACACCAATCGATCAGAAATGTAAACTTGCTGTAGTTTTATGACGTCTTCATGACGTATAGACGCTTTAGTACCAATTCGCTATATGAGCGACATGAAAACCATTCACAGCCTTATAGTTGTCAGATTTAGTTTGATTCTACTCTTCAATAAATTTTGCGATTATGGTGTCATTGAACTTTCACGTTTTTCAAGTACGCTCTATGAACTAGGAAATCTAAGAATGTGACTTTCATGTAAGAGTAATATTCTGTCATGATTTCGTCATTTGGAAATGAAGATGTTGTTAAGAACACCCACAATTACACTGGATATAAAATGTTAAGGCATTACCGCTGATGGCGCCATTCACTCAGGCTCGTCGAAGATGCACATAACTAAAAGAAATAAACATTTCTTTTTTATGAATCATTAAAGACTTTATCATCCTGTATTAAACAGGGGAATGACAAGTATTTTATTTATATCAGATATATTATAGTATCCCTTTTGCATGCATGTATTTTACTACATTGTAATGCATTGCATTTACAGTTTTTGTTATTCGTAGCCTCGTTCTCATGACAAAATACTGGTATTACGACAGTGAATCGCAAATATGGACAAAATGTCACAAAAGTCAATGTTGCATTTTTTACAGACAAATATGCCAAAGACTGGTCCGGTTCTGCCAATCTTTTTGAAGCATGTTCCTACCAATATTTATTTAACATTTAACTATTTAATAAACAAATAAAAGATTGATATAAAACGAGTTTGTTACAGACGTTGAATGCATTAACACAGGGTCCATTGTGTGATGCTTATCCGATGAGTTTGTAAATAAATTATTCCAATTTATGTATTTGAGTCCATTTCTCATAATCATGACATTATAAAGTTCACTTTGACAAGTTACAACTGTGACGGTATCGCTGCGAATAATTCAAACTGTCAATGAGCTTGTTGACGAATCACATTTATCTTCATCACATAATCGCATCATTCGTAGAAATTCTGGAAACAAACAGAACAAACAGGTAAGTGTCTAGACTGGTGAGAGGAGCTTACATTACAAACCCACAATATAGTGTACCAAATGAATACATAAGATGTATTTCAGTTATGACGGTCAAGTTAAACTGTTCTATCGTACGAATTGTGTTGTCCCTGGCTATCAAACTTCCATTAAGTCTATAGTGTCTGTGAATATATCGCCAGTCTATTTGCACTGAAGTAAATTCAAAATACATTGTAATTACCATATGGATATACGATGAAATTCATCCAAACTATTTGTATTTGACTCATTTGCATATCACAAGACAATCGACGTACACAATACGTGTAATAGGGACATAGACACGAAATTCAGACGTCAAGCAACATCCCATATCGGGCTCTGGTCAACCCCTTAAAAGACTATAGTATCGACGATTGTTACTAAAATCATCGAACATACATTTTCGAGTATACAATTTTTTGAATTTCAGAATATTCTCGTCAACGGACGCCCACAGTGAAATACTACACACATTACACAGATCGGTAACAGAAACACAGCGCTTTAGATAAACTTATTTATCATTATTTGAGATGTTGTTGGTCACTCACCGGTAAGTGTGCCCTCAACGTCAATATAGGTATTGTTTACCTTCATAATTAATTTGCCCGTCATTGTTGGCGTCAGCAAACGCTAACATTTCCTTTATTTCTGCGTCAGGTATTTCCAACTCTTGCAGGTTTTCAAGCACATGTTGAATCTCTTTACCGTCTACATATCCGGACCCCTTGAGATCGAACACACGAAATGCTTCACGGACATCGTCGTCTCGATCCATCGTGTTTCTCGCAGATAATATTGACAAGAAATCACTGAACTCAATAGTCTTCTTTCCTGTACGAAAACAAGGCAATAGTAAACGTACTAATGACGTTTCACTTGACCCCTACATAAATTTACTATTGTCATAAACTATTGTATAGACCTTTTGCTTGGTCATGTATACCAACTCTTCATTAATTAATATATACTCTTCTACTAAACCAACTTGAAACCTCAAAAGAAAACCCTTCTGAATTCTGGAAAACATTGCGTGAAATGAATAATGAAGAATTGCAC